AATGTCAAAAAGAGATACTTCTGGTGAGTTTTTTGGCAAATCGTTACAATGAATAAATGCAGTTATTAGAAGAGAGAAATGAAAAAGAAAAGAAACTTCAAGTTCTCTATTTATTTTTACCTTGGAGGAACAGAGTGTGTGCCTCAGATTCGAAAAGCAGCCATCACATACAACTGTAAGAGGTGCAAAAGCTTTCGATTCTTTACCAGATTTAGTCTTGTAAACTACCCCCTTAACTATTCCGTCTTCTTTAATCAAGGATGTCACAGCTCCCTGCTTCAACTGAACACTGGAAAAGAAGGGGTTGAACTTTAATTTCTTTTAAAGATATATAGAAGCAAAAAGTCTCCAAATGTATATGAAATTTAGTTTATGGAACAGTGATGATTTGCATCCTAATGATGCTTCATTGTACCAGTATTAAGAGTAACAGGAAAAATGTTTGCCTAATCCGATGATGCTTCAGTGTACCAGCATCATTGTACCTAATCTGATCCATCTAATCAGCTCAATGTCGATAGCTGAATAGTATAGTATAGGAAAAGCGTTTACTGATATTGAAGATTATTTCTTTGTTACTTTTCCTTTCCAATAATTGACCTACTGATACATCCTTTTTTTTAAATTCAATTATTCAATTAGTAACTGAAAATTAAGCATGATGCAGGGCGCCTTGAATGCCTTACTCAAAACTTCATATGGATTGATCATTAACAAAAGCCTCTATGAATATGTTAGCTAACAATGTTCAAGGATCAAATCCTATCATCACCACTTATCCTTTGCACAAAAACCAAAACAAAAAAAACCTTCTTTTACAGATTCGAGGTTCGACAAAGTGTTCGATCAATGTTGAACTGTTAAATTTCATAATAAACCACATGCAGCCTCTTTTACGAGTTGGACTAAGTATTCAATCAATACCAAACTGCTGAATTTTATAACATCAGGTTCTTAAATGAAAAGATATCTAAAGGAATGTTTTTGGCATCAAACAAAATCTTAGACTTAGTAGAATTCTGTCTAAGGCTAAATGAATGTTGCAAAAAAACAAAAAAACAAAAAAAGGATAAGATTACAGCTAATCAATAGAAAATTGCTTCATATATCTCATATAAGGTATAACATCATTCAACCGAACATTATACCTATGTCTCGTTTGATCGGGGAAATAAAAAAGAGTATCACTACGATAGTAGAAAGTTTCAGAATAGATGATAGATAACCTGGACAAGGACGCTGCTTTCTCTCGCAATCTTTGGATGAAACGCCCATGATGGAAGCACCTGGCAGCAACATCTACATGATACTTCTCCAGAGGTATTGATAGTTTGGCGCTTCTCCCATTTTTGTAAAGAACATAGCCAAGGACCCGCTGAGCATCGATCTCGTCGACACAATCTACAGTGCACAAATTAATGGACGAGTATGAAATCGCAAGCATGACGGCCAAAATTGCAGCTAATCATTCAAATATATTCTCCAACTGGTCAGCCGGGTGCCTTACCCTCGAGCCCTAGCTCAAGTAAGTTTAGGCAACCTCTAGGTTGCAAGGCTTCACCGACAATTCTGTCGGGCTCAGCCAAATCTCTCTCGATGACATGCACACGTCTGCCATCCTGCACAATCAGAATCATGAAGCCGCTCTTTACGTTACGATTCCGGTTTACCTTTCCCTTATCAAGCTATAAATACACAGATAGCTACGTGGGTGGTGATGTTGGCATCGACTAAAAATCCTAGTTTTGGCTGCTCTGCTAACTATTGGGAAGCTTAATGGCGAAAAAAGAAGACGGACACGTCACCTTCCCGAGCGCATAAGCAAGAGCGGAGCCGGTGACCCCGGCGCCGACGACGATAACATCGGCCCCGCCAAACCCGGCGGCCACCCTGCCGGAATCGCGCTTTCCAGCGGCCTTCCGGCCCTTCCCCCAACGTCCATGGATCCCGAGGAGGAGGAGAAACGCTAGGATCGAAGCAGCGATGACTCCCAATGGGTACATTCCCTCCATGTCCTTCTCCCACCCACTCTCTGTGTCTGGCTTCCCTGCTCCCTCCCGTCGTCGCGAACCACACCTAAATAAGGAGAGGGATATCATTCGCCGCTCTATCTTAGCCTCACGTTGCTCCGCTCTCTACTCACTGCGGAACTTCGCATGTCATTATCTTCCGCTGTGATATTTGACGCTTGCCTTTTTTAGCCGTAAAAAAGGACGACCATTATATCGGTCATTAAAACGGAACCAATCACACTTTCGAAATCGTGTCGTCGCCAATACGGCCACGTCGCCTCCCCTCTCAGATCTCAACTACCCCATTTCTCTTCCGCCATTCACGAATTATTTCTTGAGTTGTCGTCAAAATCGAACTGTACAATGACGGCGACTGTTCACAAGGAGCTGGTGGAGACAGCGGAATCACAGCTTTGGATGGGAGGAATAGTAGACTTGAATAGAAAGTCGAGGTCGTGTTGGATGATTGGAACATGAGAAGAGCATATGAGAAAGATGCAATGGAATCAGAAGAACAAAGAGGAACAATTTGGATGGTAAGAATTTTCTTCCTAGATAGAAAATTGATTAGCACACAGATCCGATGGACAATCTCTCCTCCAATTACATCCGTAATCGAACACATCACAAGCAAGAATTTTGGGTTTAAATCAGGAGGGAGGGAAGACAGATGGAAGCCCACACCACAAAGCATCAGAGAGCTAGCTGTGTTCATCAAACCAGACAAGAACAACTAAGAACTAGAATAAGCTCATCAAGCAGGGATTCCCACAACAGCAGGCCAGACAGAATAAGCTCATCCATCAGCTGTGCTCATCAAGCAGGGGTTCACCAGAACTGCAAACCAGAATAATAAGCTCATCCATCAGCTTTGAAAGCAACAAACTAGGCAGGACCAAATATGAACAAAGGCAATTTACCTGCAACACATCTCAGGCACTCTAAATTAGTTCCCACCCGACGCAGAGAGGCTAAAGAATGCACAAGACAAAACAGCTAGTGTTCATATGGATGCCTGTGGATCAGTTGCGAACACTTGAAACTACTGCAAGATGACTTCATAACATTTGCAATCTGCAAAAGCTTGATCACCAAATAAAAAGTGTTCAGAGCAATATAGTAGCCTTCTCCATGTTTGACTTGGAAAAAACACACAAAAGATAGTAGTAATCCAAGTATAGTGGTTAATGCAGGAAAAAAAAGGGAGCAGAAGACCACAGTACATAGGAGATCAATACAGGTGATTCAAATCATCACACCGAGCAATTTACCACTGCTTCTCCTATTCATGGGTGGGTTATTTGTAGGTGGACTTTACGTTGGCTTGTTAGATATTTTTTTATACCAAAATATGTTTCTAAATTATTATAATAGAAACATAAGAAAATTAATACGGAAATGAAATAGTGTACCTCTAGCCATTGTCTTTCTTTTCTAACTTTGGTATTTTTTGGTTTAAAACTCTTGCTTTAGATGGTGTAGGAAATCCTTCGGACCTCAAAGAGATGTTAAGCTCAAGGACCAAAATCTTCATTTATATATATATTCTCCCATTAAGAATATTTATTATTACCAACTCATAACGTTCAACAATTAATTCAAATTTATAACGTTTGAATTATAATGATGAATTATAATGATATTAAATAAAATATCTAATAATAATGATTTCATTTATAATGAATAAAAAAATAAAAATATTTAAATCATAATAAATAAATAAAAAAATTATGAATCTTAACGAGAACGATTACATGGCTTTCATAAAACAATTACTTGAGAGAATCCGTGATCAAAGATTACTGCTCTCTATAAATAAATTGCTTTATGTTGGCTTTCATAAAACAATTACTTGAGAGACTCATTGATCGAAAGATTACTCCCTATAAGTAAGGTGTGCACTGCAAACAACAAACAAAAGTAACTAAATCGAGGCATACTTGTATACGATCATCTCTCATACAACTCAAATTCTATACGAAGAGGAACCTAACTTCCAGAATGATGTAGGGTAAACATCCATGCCTCTATTTTTTTGTTCTCATCTGATGTCAAGTCTATCATTTTATAATTGCATCATAGGGAATACTTATCGTACAATATATTATTGAATTTTTTTAATTAAATAAGATATATTATAAATATGATTGGATTCTGATTATCGATCGATCAATAGAAATTTCTTAGCATATTTTATTGTTATCGATCATCGATCAATTTAGAGATATTTTATTTCATATTTTAGCATTACATTTATTATTATCTATTTTTAAATTTTAATATTAAAATTTGTATAAAATAATAAATTCTTATGTTTACTGTTACTAGTTTGGTGATGGATATATAAACACATCACTGATTGTGCTGGACACTGGAATGATTAGTCTTGAATCCTCTGGGCATAGATTTTTCGCATGCAAGCAAGCTGGTGACAGTGACAATTTCGATATGGAGACAGATAATTTGGGAGCTTAATTCACATCATCACTGCATATGTTTTATAAGGTGTGGAAACATGTTTTGTCTTCACAACACACGACTGTAATCAGAGATCTCAGCATACATACATACACACACACATAGTAGTCCCAATATACATCACATACATTCCCACGAATAAACCATGGACCATGGCACATATGCATAAAATAAGGAGGTAGAAACTGCACCATACTGAGCTTGACCTGTCCAGCCATCCATCTTCTTATTGTTTCAGTTGGGCAGGAGGATCTCTATAATATGCAGGAAAAGTAGAAGGGAAGAACGTTTGCCTAACCCCTTCTGCTTTCATGAGGGGGAGAACGATACCTGCAGCAGACTGAAATAAAAGGAAGCAGCACAAAATGAGTCCTCAACTTCTCATAAGAACATTTAAGCAGCTAAACTAAACTAGAAACTTTCACTACTTACAGAAATCAGTCTCGCACTACCACGTAATCCCCGGACTGATGGAATTGGCAACAGTAGATGACCAACTCCATGAGTAACAGCAACAAGGAAGTGGATAACCAGATGCAGTGGGCTAGCAATAAGACCACCGATCAAAGCAGTAGAGTCACTTGAAAACCTACCTCCAAGGCTCAGACAGTCAAAATAGGCTTGTCCAATTTCCTTCCTAGCTTCATCAGGTGATGTGCCGAATAATTTGTAAAACGCATCTGCCAGCATGTTCATCGTAGAAGCAACCGGCTGCAAAGGAAGGAAAAAGGAATATATATGTATGATGCACAACATAGAGAGTCTGCAACATAACATCAAACAAGGACAACACTTTTGTCTTACTTTCCGCAAAATGTAGAAAGATTCCAAGTATTTGCAGAGAGCAGCAGCATCATGAA